GTAAAAAAAAATTTGCACAATATAAATTGACCAAAATACCCTTGAAACATTTTGAGGGTATTTTGGTCGATTTATATTGTGCAAATTTTTCTTTTAATATTTTTATTAGGTTATACTATTTTTAAAGAATATACTCTCAAAATTTCAAGTGATTTGGATTTGTAGAAAAACAATAAAAATTCAAATATGAAATGAGGTTGTGACTATTAGATCTGGGCTATTGGCTGACACTGTAGCTGTCAGCTTGTGGGCTGATAAGATCCATTCCCATATATATGTATATATATATTGTCATTCTTGTTATGGTTGTCATTCTTGTTATGGGTTTCATTGATTTTGAGGTCTTTGGTATTGACTGGAAATTAGTTTTGTCGGAGATGTTCTCAAAAGCCCTTGTAGTGCATGTTACTTCTTTGCATGAAAGAATAGATCTAGAAAGATGTATGTGGCATTTATGTATCAACAGGTAGAGGTATTTATCTAAAGGGCATTTTTTACCCATTGTGTTTGCTCACATCATGAACTTTGCAAATCTCTCTGTGAGTTAGGGCCATTGGAGAGAAGGAACATGGTTAGACAATCATCCAACAAATATGACAGGAGCTATACCGATAGCTGGTTAGACATCTTTAATTTTTGATTTGTGCATATCCATGGTGGAGTAAGAAACCTTAAGTGGAGCATATTGGCCTAGTGTTTAAACATAACAAGAAATGATGGATTATCACCTAGAACTTCATAAGACATGCTGTTCCTCCAGAAATGCAGTTGTCCTTGCAAGCAACTAGAATTTTTTTCAGATGCCCATTTAGCTTCTGGAAATGGTTTATTTCCATTTTAACTTGGTGCCATTTATATACCTCTTGAAAGGCATTTTGATGAAATATTTCAATTGACTTTATGAATTTAAGGTCATGTATTTTCCCATTATACCTTTCAAATTTTGGTAATTTAAAAAAAATGAAATAAGCCTTTGGGAATTTAGGATCTGTTTGGATGGGTTTCATTTAATCCCACCCATTAATGAATGTAGAAGAAAATAGTTTTTTCTGCTCCATTAATTAGTGTTACATTATTAAGAAAACGCCACAAAATGCTCAACTGCTCATTCGAAAAAAATGTTTATTAAACTTTTTCAAATAAGTCCAGCCTACAAGGGAAATGTTGGTCATCCCATTGAGGCCTTAACGGATGAACTAAGTAGGAAATATTGGTAATATAGACACTTAAAACCCCTCTCTCCGCACACTGCACCTCCAAATCATCCATCTCTCTAAGCCCTCTTACGCCCTCACTCTCTACGCACACCCAATCTGCAATACATCTCTTTCTCTCTTTACTACCGCATGCTGGTACTGTAGTCCTCCTTATTTAATTGACTGACAGGTTAGAAAGCTCTTGCAATTGATTTTGGGAGGCCCTACTCCAGCATCAGTTTCATTTGAAGGACATGTATGATATTTGATAGTTTTTGGGAACTGAAGAGCTGTATTATAAAGGAATGCTTGTTCTGCATTGCACTATGCCACTATATTTAGCCAAACATTAATATGCATATGACATGGTTGATAGATGTGTCATCCCTAGCTAAATAGATAATACACCCTGACCAATTGTGTTCTTTTACTTGATTACACTTTGTGCATTCATGTTGTTGGTGTACTTGTACACCTTAACATAATCATGCGTGATGTCACATGCATCTTCCATGTCATTTATAGTTTAACCCAATGGATTACCTGGACAAAGTAGCTAACATTTCCCATTGATTCTGTTAGGAGTCATAACTTAAATGATTTGTGTGGATTGGAATAGATAGCAATAGTTAGCATAATAATGTTCAATCACCGCTGTTGTCATCGTAATGGTACTTGATCATGATTCATATTATATATTTTTTTTCCATAAAGAGATTGTGCAGGGGATGGGGGACTTTCATTTATGGAATTGATTCATATCTTAGCTGTCATTGGTTGTTACCAAAAATTTATTCTTAATCAGTAGAAGTATTTGATGCTGAAACCTCTCTGAGTATTATGTGAATTTAGTGGTACTTGGTCTTCTATTTTATCCATGCCAAAGTTGCAAGGGGAGGTGATGATAGCAGTCACTGGCTCAGCTCAAGCCTTTGCTCAAATTGTGACCTATATCATTGCTTTATTGAAGTACTCGTAACTTAGACCTTTCCTTTTTTCCTATCTCGTTGTGTGGCTATGAATGAAGGGGAGGGGTTGATAACGGTCACTGGCTCAAGCCTTTGGTGAAATTGTGAGCTATATCATTGTTTTATTGAGGTACTTGTAACTTAAGCATTTCTTTTTCTATCTTTATGCTTGGCTATGAGTGACCCTGATTAAGATATTGATCATATTCCATTTTGGACCATGCAATGAAATGCTCTAACTTGGTTGCAATCTTTTAGGATTTAATTCTTGCTATGATGGGAATTTTGTGCTAATCATTAATTTAGATATTTGACTGCAGGACCTCGGATTTGTTGATGATAAGATGAATTGTTTGGACGTATCATCTGAACTCATGCATGTCCAATACAATTCTGATCATCTGGATAAATGTGTTGGAGCAAGCCTCGTAGCCAAAGACGGCAAAATATCCACGCCTTTCGTGGATGGTGTTGATAATGCTGCTGAGATATCATTTTCATCTTGGATGAAATTTGCAATGCTCTTTGGATTTTCCACTCTTCAATATTCACCATATGCAATGGCTACTTTACAGTTTGCAAGTGGGTTGCAGTCCATTCCTTATATTGGGGATTTCAGTGATGTTACCACAGGTTTTACTTCGGTTAGGGAAACCTCCTTATTTATCATTGTTGGAGATATATTTGAAGGTTGATAATGCATTGGTTACTTATTTTCTTGTGCAAAGAAGCTTAGAGTTTTGAATGTTCGTTAGTATATCTGTTTACCATTTGATAAACTGCAACATCTTGAGTATGTTTTTAAAAGATAGCTCCATTATATAAAAATGAAAAAAGAGAAATAACTCTGTTGTTACCTAAGCTTCCTTGCTGTTGCCGGATTCTTGTCTTTGTAGGATTCATTTTATGGTTGTTAATAGGAGAAAATAATAACATGCTCCACCTGGAATTTGAGAAGGGGCCTCGCTATTCCATTCTGTAAAATGGGAAAATAGCTGCAGGCCAAAACACTATTGATGGGATCAGGATTGAGAGTGGTTCTGGGGTTGGATTGGGAGCGAGGAATTGTGAAAGGCTAGAAGGTCCCTAGGTTTGGGATCGCAATCTGTACACCCCAAAATTTAGGGGATTTAGATCCCTATATGTTGGGGAGGTCAATCCCAACTTCTAGGGATCAAATGATAAGTTCTATAGGTCTGAGCTCCATCTAGTTGAAAATTGAGGTCCTCGAACGAGCTTAATTGGGATTCCCTAGGTCAGGAACACAATCCCTATTATATTTTAAATAATTAACAAACTTTTAAAAATTTGAAATTTTATTAAAAATGGAAATAAATTTAATCATTATTTAATAATTTAATATTTTTGCACTCCTTTTAGTGTAGTTTATATTTCAATTAAATAATAATTTTTTTTAGAAAAACTACAACTTTAAAAAATTGAATCATTATAAACTATTTTAATTTTTGCATTCTTTGATTGTAGTTTATGACTTTATGTAACATAATAAAAATCATGGCCATCCTTCTTTGTTGAATGAAAAGTATTATGCTGAGTATTGAGTTGAAGCTCAAGGTATCATGACTTGTTACAGAGCTCAAAAGGGACAATGAAGTATACCACCATCGAAAATTATGTATGAACACAACATGCAACTAATATGCTATGTAATGCTTAAAAGTGTTAGCTAATTATGCAAAATAGTCATTGTTTAGCATTAAAATGAAGCTCAAGTCTCAAGGTTCAAACTTGTGACCTATTAAAGAGGGGAAGAGGTACACTGGAGTTTACCACTTGACCCAACATTGGTGGAGGTCTTGGTTCAGTTTACCAATGACCCTAAATTATGATGCAATGGAATTTGGATCCCATATAACTCAAGATCTTGAAATAGGAAGGATTGAGATCCGAAAGTTTAAAAATCACAGAGGAGCCAGATCTCCCTCCCTCAAATCGTAGAAGTAAGCTTCCAGAGTGGGATTGACCGCTTGGTTGGGAGATCCTGATAACTATGGCCCAAAAGCTACAGGAAGCCTTGGTATTTGATTCTTCATAATTGTCTTTTTTTGATAAAGTTAACTATTTGTATTAAGTAAAAGAAAAGATCATAGTAGTCCATCGAGAGGGCCCACAGGCCAGGCCTCTCTGTAAAAAAATAGGCTTCCAAAAAGAGTCGCCCTATACAAAAAATGGGTGGGGTTTATAACAATTGCCCATTTACAGAGGATTTACAAAAACATATAAACCGAGGATCCAGGGATTCCATAAGTCCTTAGAAAAAATAGGACCCAAAAACAAAGGTGTGCCAAAAAAACCCAATGCTTATGACCCTGCGACGTGTGCCACCTCTCCATCCTTAGCCAGTTGGTGTACCAAGGCGTTTGATGTTCTCCAAGTATGACTCCATAAGATGGCTATATCTCTGCAAATGTGCATAATTTCATCATAAATCTGAGCAAGGTACGAGGGAGGAGGGGCATTTCTAGCAGCCCAAGTGATAATGTTTTAGGTGTCTCCTTCAACGATCAGTGGTAGTCCCCATGTGGGGTCGAACATTTTGAGACCCGAGAGGAGAGCCGTAGACTCAGCAAGCGGGGAGTTGCCATGATGTTGGCATCCGCCCTAGTTGGTCCTGGGTTTCCTAGGGAACACCCGTCAAAGTTGAGTTTAGTGAGGCCTGTCAGAGGAGGAGACCAGTTGTTAGCTCGTGAGACCCAAGGGGACTTGAAATGGAGAACATCTTCCTAATTTTGTAGGAATGACGAAGCTGAAATACCAATGAAAGCCTTGTGGTTGGAAGCTCAGAAAATGACCTGAGAGGTAATTTTGTGGAATACGGCCGAAGCTTTGCACTTGACACCTCGGAAGATCCTTGAGTTTCTTTTGGTCCAGATGACCCAAGGAGGCAGGAGGAGGCCTTTCCATAAAAGCCTGCCTCCTTTGACCATGAAGAGTCCATTGAGAATTTATGGAGGGCCGGTATGGAAGTAGGAGTAACCCAAGTCAGGTCGACAAGACAGAGAAGTTGACTTCAAATGTTGAGGGCAAGGTTGCAATGGATTAAAAAGGTGGGGGTTGCTCTCTTCTTCAAAAAGACACATAATGCAATGATTGGGAATGGGAATTCCCCTCCGTTGTAGTTGGTCAACTGTGAGGGCTTTTTTTGATCACACTATCCAATTAAAAGCTTGCACTTTTGGTGGGGCTATTGTAGACCACACCTTAGAGACTACAGAGGTCAGGGCATGGGGGAAGGTGGGAGGTTGCAAAAGTTTTTTGTAAACGGAGGCTACCGAGAAGGAGCCTGAAGGGGAGGGGGTCCACACCAGGCTGTCAAGGCCAGAGAGGACGAGGAATGTAGGATGCAGTATAGAAGACAAAGATGAAGTCCAAGGTTTCAACATCAGAAAGAGGGTGTCTGAAGGAAGGGTTCCAGACACTACAAATTTTCGGAGATGGGCATCTTGTTGGCAATAATGGAGGACTTGTTCGTAGCTAGAGAAAAAAGAGATGGGAACAAGTCCTTGAACAGAGTGTGGCCCACTCATAGATCTGACCAGAATTAATTCTTATGCCTCCCCTTGGATGGAAACAAATATTTTGTTGGAAGAGGGATAGAGAAGACAGGAAAGACTTCTTGGCCCTTGAGGCCCTGCTTGGTGTCCCGTCCGATAGCCAGGAGTTTATCGAAAGTCTATATTTGCAGCTGATGACTTGAGACTAGAGCTAAGTTTTTATGGGTTGCGAGATGCCATCACCACTTCCCAAGTAAGGTTGTGTTCTATTTCCCCAAGATCCATATCCCAAGCCAACCTGGGTGCTTCGGTTGGCAAACTTTATCCCAAGGAATGAGGTGGAAATTTTTGGATTCAGCATCCCCTGACCAAAGAAAGTTCCTCATCGACTGTTCTAGACGCCTTGCAACCGCCACTAGGACATAAGATAAACCGGGGAGTTAGCTAGGGTGGCCTTGATGAGCATGGTCCTACCCGTGAAAGAAGGAATCTACCTTTCCACCCTGCTAGGCAGCGGTCAACATTGTCTATAATGTGAGTCCGCTACCTCTTTTTATGTTTTCCTAAGCCCAACGGCAAACCAAGGTAGCTTGTAGGGAGATCTTCCACTTTGCACTCCCAATCTGGAATAAAGGCTCTAGTCTTAAAAGGAGTGAGAGCGACCTCAATCATCTTGGATTTCTCCATATTCACTTTGAAGCCAGTGGCATACTTGAAGCATATGCGAAAGAGGTGCACGTTCTCAATTTCCTACAAAACAACATTTATAAAGACGAGAGTGTCATCGACATACTGTAGGTGGGAAACCGTGGGGCCTCTAGTACTGCTGTTGAAACCAGACAGAAGACCGGACTAGTACATTCGAGAGACAGATTGGCTGAACACCTTCGCAGAGATAGCGAAGAGGAAGGGGGATAGGGGATCCCCTTGCTAGAGACCCTAGAAGATGGGAAGTCGCCCTTTGGTGATCCATTAATGAGACGAAGAAGGGGTGGGAGTAGCAGTCCCTCATCCACTTTCTCCAACGCTCCTCAAACCCCGTCCTAGCCATTGTTTTGTTCAAGATCGACCAATCAACATGGTCATATGCCCTTTCCCAATCAATCTTGAAAATCAGGCCCGGTTTTTTAGCTAGGTGCCTAGAGTGCAAGCATTCATGCGCCACCAAGACCCCGTCAAGGATTTGCCTATCTTTGATGAAGGCACTCTGAGAGAGAGAGAGATCACAAAGGGGAGGACCTCTTTTAAGCCTTGAAGCGAAGACTTTGGAGAGTATCTTGTAGGTGGAGTTGACCAAGCTGATTGGTTGGAAGTCCTTCAGTTTTTCTAGCTCTTCGATTTTTGGGACAAGAGCAATAAAGGTCACATTCATACCTTTGTGGAGGATACCTCGATGGAAGAATTCTTCAAAGAAACTTAGGAGATTGGGCCTAAAAGTTTCCCAGAATAGCTTGATGGGAGCTACTGGGAAGCCGTCTAGGCGTAGTGCTTTGTCTTTACCTAGGTCCGCAATAGCTGCCAAGATCTCTGGTTCAGAGAAGGGTCGTTCCAACTGTTGGACCCAATGAGCAGGAGCTGTGAGGAATTGAATGTTGCCCATCCTAGGTCTGGTAGCCGAGGGGGCAGAGTAAAGATTTTGGAAGAAGGATAGGATGCCTACTTCGATTTCAAGAGGTTGGTCCAAAATAATGGAGATAGAATTGTCGCATCTTCGGTAATTTGTGATTATGTGGAAGAAACCGGTATTATGGTCCCTTGAGTGGAGCCAGTTGACCCTGGACTTTGAAACCAAAAAATCTCTTCCTTTTTGAGGGTTGTGTTGAGTTCTAAGGTTAGATTCAAAGATTGACAAGGTTCGGGATTCCTCAGTAAGGTCTAAGGCTTGGATCGCAACCAGGTGGGTATTCTTGAGATGGGAGAAATTACCTGGGATGGTTTTACTCCAGGCTTTGAGGGGTGCCTTAAGGAGTTGAATTTTTGTTTGCAGCTTCTAGCTTACCCTACTTGAGACGTGTGGGGAGAAGAACTCCCACCACTAGGAGATGAGGGAGGATAGAGGAGCGTCTTCAAGCCAAGAGAGCTCAAATCGAAACGGTCTAGGGTCTCTCGGGGTTAGATAGGGTGTATAGGATTATAGTGCAGTGGTCAAAAGTACGTCTAGATAGCGCTAATGCGTGGGATCCAAGGAAGTCCTCATCTTAGTTTGAGGAGAGTAGGAACCTATCAAGTTTGGAGAGGGTGGGTTGGGCAAAGTGGTCAGCCAGGTGAATTGGTTTCCTTGGAGTGGGATATCTAGAATTTCATTGCGTGAGATGAAATTTGAGAAGTCCAGCATCCCTTGTGAGATGTTGGAGTTAGAGTTTCTTTCAAAGGGCCATCAGTGATATTGAAACCCCCCCCCAACACTAGGAGCAGTGAGGTAAGGTGGCAACTAGGTCTAGCTGGTCCCAAAGCAGGGTTTTTTGTGCCACTGAGTTAGGACCATATATGGCAGTGCATTTCCAGGGGTATCCATTTGTTATCTTGGAGAGGAGGATAGTAATTGAGAAGCCCCTTGTGTGAGAGGACTCGAGAGTATTCTTAGAAGAGTTCCAGATAACCCAGATGCCCCCTTGAGGCCCCTACTGGGGGCAGGGACACCAACTGGCAAGGTCTGCAGCCCTAGACCTGGCGGATCAGTTGAAGGGAGGGGTGTGCTTGTTTTGTTTCAGTTAAAGCTATGATGGTGATTCTTCATCATTGTTAATAGAGCTCTTTTGAATAAATGGCCTAGGTAGTTTAGGATGGAACCAAACAATTTTGAGTTAGGAAATGATTGGGGAATAATGAGTCCTATAGGGTTATTGATGCAGGAAAATTTGAGGAAACAGTAAAATCAGCAAGAAACAAAGCCAAACACGAGCACAATTCAAAGAAACACAGGGTTTCTTCTCCACACCCAAGCTAGGGTTGCAAAAGCCTGAGCTTTTCTTTTTTTAGATCTGGAAAATCACGTGAATGCCTTCTCTAAGGCCCCCATGCACCTTTTTATAATATTATTTAATGTTCTAAGTACAAAAAGGGTCCAAACAAATAATACATTGACCCCTATATCCTAGCTTAAACTTAAAATTCATAATGGCGGTTTTACCATTGTGAACAGTACCAAGAGTAGTACTCCAGAATAGTAGTAACTACAAATAGTAACAAGTGAATGGTAAATAAAAATAAAAAAAACCCTAGAATCCCTGAAAATCATAAAAACCCTAAAACTGAAACTATAATATACATCATTTGAAATTGAAACCTACTGTTACCGAAAACCTTAGAGATGCTTCCCAAAATAAGGAACTTGAACAATCCACGGTAAGTGCTTGCAAAAGGGGAACAAAACTCACAACTGCTGACTCATCTCAGTAGTCTGGTAGTAGAACTGGATAAGGAATACGAATCCTAAACGTTGACAAGGGTGTAGGCTTATATGGGAAGGAAAACGAGGTTCAAAAATAAAAAATAAGAATAATCTTGCCCTCCATCAGTTGTACTCTGAACTCTCTAGGATCAGGAGAGGCGTTTGTTTGTTATCTTAGATTCCCAAGCACTAGAGGTGGATTTAGTAGTGAAAAGAGTGTACTATTTTTCTCAGATTTCCAAGTATGATATGGATCGAGTTGTTATGCATTGCCTTCTCTGTTTCAATTCTGCATCTTTGTAAGTTTAGAGAAGTCTGTTTTTTCTTGTTTTTGAGAAACGGAGCCCATTGATTTTAATCAAGGCACTCATGGCTTTATATATCTGGTGCAGGCCTTCTTGCTGATATTTTTTTCTGAGCTGGGTGATAAAACCTTTTTTATCGCGGTACGAAAAGCCTTTCAGCTTTAGTTTCCGATGCTCTTTATCGATGATGTTAGTGAGAAAATGAACCAGTTTTTTTGCCAAAAACCGTTTCTCTTTATATGAAAATTTGATCTACATTTGGTTGCTTATTTCTTTCGGGTTTTTCCTCATATGCATGCTTTTAGCATGTCAGAGATTCTTTGCCAACTTGCATATATCCTCTCTCATAGAGTGAGTGAATAAATGTATAGGTGTAAAAAGTAGCCGCCCTTTTTGGAAACCAACACTGTGAAACAATGTCAACAATATCTCAGCCATGGACTACCGAGCTTGCTGGCCACAATCTAGTTTGGCTTTTATGATGGGAAACTTTATGACTGATCCCTGATATTTTAAGCTTGACTTGTATTCTGATTATTGTGTGATTGGGCACTAGCTGACTGCTGTGACTGGCTAGGTTGATAGAAGGGGATATCCATTGGTGAAATTTTCCTGTCCTTGACTATTCCATTCACCTTTATCCAGCAACTACTGCATAAATGATTATTCTCCACCTCTTATAATGAAAATTTAGAGATCAATGTCATCTACAAGGATGATGTTGCTAATTCAAAAATGGAATTGCCAGCTTTAAGTTCTTTAGGATGAGTATTTTCATGATTTGCTATATTTTCAATTTTGCTGCAATGCATTCATTAGTGGTCTTATGATGGAGTGAGGATTCATCACTCCATGTAAAAGTTAACTCAGTTTACATTCTTGATAAATTCAGTTTATGGTGCGTTGACTTTGTTTTTCAGTGAGAATAGATTTTGACTTCACATAATGTGTGCATTCTTCATTTTATGAAGAGCTAAAATTAGTTTTGTTTTGTGAGGCTTATGCACCTCCTGTTATTTGTTTTCTAACCTTTATATTCCTTATCAGGCACTCCTTGCAGCCCGGAATTCTGCTGCTATTGTTTTTGTTGGAACATTTGGTGCTCTAGCGTAAGTTGCTCTGTGGCATGACTAATGATTAGGAATTTTTTAACTTCTTATCTGGCATCATTCCTGCATCAATTTTTATTGGTGTTTGAAAATTGGACTTGACCAGCAGGTTTTACTGTTTAGACTTAACTAGAAATATAGAGAGGTGGTCAGAACCAGTGTCTGCTTGTTGAACCACCCAATCAAACTGGTCATATACTTGGGGGTTGAGCTGGTGAATCATTGTGTTGACTGTACTTTGCCTTTTATTTTTAATAATTTTGTTGCATTAATGGACCAGTCCCTATGGGACTTCTCCTGGGAAATCTCCGGTTCGACCGTTGTATCTGGATTTTAAAATGGCCCAGAGCATCTCTTTGTCACTCAGCCACAGTTTTTATGTAGTCTTCATACACCTACTTCATTAATATCATAAAAATTGGGCACATGTAATGAAAGATGATGGGTGGCGCTTACCAGGTGCAAAATAATAGACAAAGGCAAAATTATATGTAGCTGTTTTCTGTGAGTTTTCACAAGAAATCGCGATAATGCATCCTTTATCAGTGTAAGCTGAAAAAAATTTCTATTGAATTGGTACAATTCAGTGCAGTGGTGCTTGTGACTTAAACTGGCCTAGAACACAAAGCAGCTTGTTTCTTAAAAAAGTGCACAGAGAATTCATCATAAAGATTCTGTAGGAATGCATTCTTGAAATCTTCCTGGTAGGCCTGGCCCCATTTTGTTTCTTTTTCAAATTGGTGATATCATATTAATAAGTATAGATAGGTAGTAAAAGTACCCATGAGAAGTGAGTGTAAGTGATGGAGGGAAAAAGTGTTCTTATTTTTTATTTTATTCAATTTCAAATTATGTATATTATAATTTTAGTTTTAGGGTTTCTAGGGATTTTTAATTTTTTAAGAATTTTATAATCTTTTATTTATTTCATGAGTACTATTTACAATTACTATTCATGAGTACTGTTCATAGGGGTAAGACTGTAATTATGAAATTTAAGTTGAAGTTAGGATCTATAAGTTATTTAATCATTGGATGGACGTATAATATCTTTGAACATTGAATTATAATATATAAGAGGTGTGTGGAACCTTGAGAGGGTCAATTCTTCATGATTTTTGAAAATTGAAAGAGAAAAAAGCTTCGACCTTTGGAACCCTAGCTTGGGGTTTGGAGAAGAAACCTAGGTTTCTTCGAATTGTGCTTGTATTTGGCTTGCTTTTTACTGATTTTACTGTTCCATAAACTTTCCCTGCATCAAATTGGTATTAGAGCTTGTGATCTACATATAAGTTATTGTAGCATGTACGGAAGTTACTGTAGTACATACGGAGTTACTGCAACACCACTTTTTTGGTGCCCTAGGTCAACAACAAAGAGGGGAACTTACAGTGGGGTCTCGGGTTTGCTGATTTTGGCCAAAGTTTGGCCAAAGCAATCTAGATCTTGCTGATTTCAACAGTTTTGGTTGATTATTTGCCTAAGGTTTGTGATTTTGGCGAACCCTTGTATACTATTTCAAACAAGCTATTACATAAATCTATGAGTCCATTTAGACCTCTACTAATACTTATAATATTATTTTCAGAAGACTTGTTAATATGCAAACTATGATCGAAATCAAATTCTTTCTGATCACTTTTACCGATTATGCATGTTATATCAGCCATATGAGATTCTCTTTTGGCACCTAAGGCCCCCTGTATGTCTATCAGAACCTCTTGACAGTCCTATTCCCTTCAAACACAACCTTGTGCAAAAACTGGGATTTGACTTACGAGGTAAAACTTACAGGTGTATGGGTTTTAAAAAGGACTCGTACAGTAACTGAATAGACAAATAAAAGAACATAAACGAATTAAAACTGAATTAAAAGAAAATTTACCAGAAACTGAGGCTCTGATACCAATTACCGGAATAGCAACGCAACAAACATAATTCAACAGGACACACAACAACAACAACTCTCATTAATCAAGTAATACTGATTACACAGTAGTAGACTTTAGGATTATAGGACACGAACACATAGAAGCAGATGAAGATGAGAAAGGAGAAGAAAAGAACACTGGTACTTAGTAAAAAAAAAGGATGAAACATAAGAAAAGGTCTGAAATGGACTCTCAGATGTTGTTCTTCAAGACTCGATGTCCAACTTTGAGGCCTTGGTCTCCTTTTATAGCCTGCAGACTCCAAACGCGGATTTCAAATGCGTCCTATATCTTATTTGATTATTGCACGACCTCTGAAAAAGTAGATTCCACCCTCTATTATTGCGCTACCTTTGAAAAAGTAGATTTCATAATTGTACGTTGTCAGAGTAAAAGGTGATTGCTTTGTATGATGCTTCATTATGTTTGCAGTCATAGCGTCCTTTCTGATAGATGCATTGCTTTTTTAGCAAATATCATCTTTCCATCATGTTGCTGATGTTGGCTTCTCCAACACTATCTAGGCTACAATCACTGATATTTTCTTGTCCTTCCATAGCCCAGTAATTGGTTTCAGCTTCATCCATAAACAACTCTTCTGATTCTATAGATAGATCTGATGGTTGATCCTGATTGATCGGTCTTTCACATTTGCTCAAGAAGTCATCTGTTTCTTTGATTTGGCTATCAGTGGAACAATGACTTATGTGTAGATCAGTGACAAAAGGTCTTTTTCCATCACTAATTTTAAAGGAGTGTCTATTCTTTAATTCACATATTTCTTGGCAGAATGATACCATATTTTTTATGGAATAAGTTTTTACATTGATTTCATAGACTTTTATATCTATCACGATCGTGTCTTTGGCGAGTGTTAAATCGTTATTGGTGGTTTCCATTAGATACCAAATGTGGTATGGCTGGAAGAATCTTTCTCTAGATCTCCATCCGATGGTGCTTGAATATGTTTTTGAAATTCAATAATTTCTTTATAAATAAGTGTTGGCCCACAACCTTGACTTTGAGCAAACTGAGAATAGGAAACTTCTCTAGCCTTCTCTTCTTGATTGGACCATGGGCACTGTCTCCTGCCTCTTCCTTGTTTAGGAGGAGCTTCTTTGACTGGCCTCTTGCCTTTATCCATTAGATTAATCTTTCTGATTAATCCGAGTTCATGCTAAGAAAATCTGCAAAGATATTGTTAATTCCTTTGACTAGTTCTACCTTAAAATTGTAATGATTGATTTGATTTGACCATCTAATCCTTCTTGGATTATCTTCACCTTTTTTGTTTGTTAAAAAATCTTTGATAGCTTTATTATCTGTTCTGATAGTAAACTCTTCAGGGGCAAGAAAGATATGAAATCGTTTGATCCCTCTTAGAACTGCGGGAAGTTCTTTTTCGTAAATGATATAATTTTTCTCATTTGGTTTGAATTTTCCAGAATTATCGAAAATGCATTTGCATGTGATAGTAATTATTAATTTATTGGTAAACCAAAAAAATAGTATTAATTCGTAATTATTAATTTATTAAAAATGTTTTTTGCTTTTAACCATAATTATTAATTTATTGGTAAACCAAAAAATAGTATTAATTCGTAATTATTAATTTATTGATAAACCAAAAAATAGCCTTAATTCGTAATTATTATTATATAATATATACAATAAATGGGTCTAGATACCCGCCTAGGTGGCCCAGAGCCCAAACCGCCAATGCCTTTTTGAACATTGCATATACCAATCAACATTGATGCAATAGCTGGCACAACCAAGCAAAGCCTCCTTACAAACTGTTTTCAAAGGAAATTCACAAACAAGTATCTGGCCAAGATTTGGAAAGTTTCTCTGCCCCTTATAATCATGGTCAATTTACAAGACAGAAACCAAATGGCAAAAGAAGACAATCAATCTCCTTAAGAGGTACTAAAATAGGGAATATTAGAAATAGCATCTTGAAAACATTGTTAGTCCTACCAAAGAATATAACAGACAGAATCATTTAGAGATGGGGAATTGAAGTTCAAAATCTACCTTGATTGATAGTGTGTATGTGTAGGGTGGACCTTATGCACATAAAGGTGAAAGTGAGAGTGTGTGGGAGATTGATTGTGATAGTGTTAAAGTAGAATCCTTAAGTTGCTTACTGGTCTCATTTGAACTTGTAGTTTGTGTAAGGATCTTGGTGAGAACAGATGTGAAATGGGTTGGTACTTGTCGATAAGGGTCTACACATAGAAGTTGTAGGTAGTAAGGAATCAGAATTGTATTTATGACAAATGAAGCTGGAGTACCCTGTGATCCAAAAAAACTAAAGAAACGAAAAAAGCTGGTGTCCATAGCAAGTTCCATCTGCTGGAGTTAGTATGTGATGGTCCAATAACCTGCCACAATGATCCCACCACTGTCTTTTCCCCTTCCACTAACAATCTAACGGAAGATGTAGGATGTCACTCAAAATGCAGAAGTCCATGTATAGGTGTGAGGGCTTTTCACAACCGATTTACCTCTAAACATGACTTGCAGGAATCTCCTAAAAGAAAAGAAAAAAGAACACGCAGACACACCCACCCACCCACACACACGCAAAAGAAACTTAAAAGTTTCAAATGCCAAAAGTACTCATGGGATATTAAAGTAAAACAAAATTACAAAATCTCATAAAATGCAATAAATAGGAGAAAAACTGTTTGAACAAATGTGAAAACAAAAATGTCAGAGCACCATTTTATATTAAAAATATATTTTTAAAACAATTTGGGTTTTTGACTTGGGTGTAATTTGCTCAAACCTGGCAATCATTTTGGAAACTTAGTGAACAACTCGTTTCAGATGTGGACATTATTCATCCAAGCAGTTGGCACCATGTTTACTGTTATCCCAATCAGCAAATCCTAACAGTTCGGATGCACTATGCTCAAGTACAGCATTTGTCACGTTATGCCAACCTGTGTGCTTTGCCCGTGGAATCAAAGTAATGGTTTATCCTTCCTGCTAGAGACCCATAGACACCTGAGATTGTATAAAGAGCATGAGACATTGGTGGTTGACTATGCCTACCCGGGATGCCAATGGGTTCTCTTTGCAAGAACAGCTCTTGCTTTAGCCCAAGGTCATATCTTTCCATGTGTGCATGCCATGCAATTGAGTGCTAGACTCATGATGACGGATTCAACTTTGCCACCTCAGAATACCCCGATCCTATGTAGGTTTGACTGTTGAAGGTGAGTCTAATGACGCTATGAGCCCTTCTCCCCGAGTGGGGCTTCAAAAAACTGAGTAAATGGTTATCATGGCTAAATCGCCTTCACCTTTTCCATATTAGCATCCTACCATTGCAAGACCACTAGTTGATACCTTCAGATTCAGCAGTTTCCTTCTAGCATGGGAGAAGTTAACCACCGGAAAGGTAGATGCTTTAAACAGTTGTTGCATTATCACTTGCACTATTGATTTGCTAATTTCTTTGTTGTTTGGTTGATGCAAGGTATGGAAAGTCAAAACACTGTCAGAAGAAGAATGGACGTTTGAGTAAAAGAGAAATACATAACTTTCTCAAGGGTTATGCCATTCATTTCCTCTGTCCTAGGGGTGGCACTGATGTTTTGCAGTTGATAGTAGTAAGGGTAGTAGCTTGTCTTGGGCTTGCAAGCAATTACCCGTCAGATAGATAGCTGATGTTTTTTTTTTTTTGACTTCGTCATAAAAATATTTTTCTAGATGCAACCAATAACGACTTAACTCTACCACGCTAGTCTTTTTCACATATTGTTAGGGATTGATGTCGTTTAACATGTGCTTCAACATGATATAGTCCATGATGTAATCCATTCCTATTGAAAATGAACTTGGTACTTTATATTTTGGTGGGCTAATCTGGGCAAGATCATACATACTTCTATTATTCCTGAGCTTCCTCTTTTACTCTTTTACCTCTTTTCTTCATTTAATGGCTTGCATACACATGTACAATAATTTGCTTGCTTTTTGGTAAGATTTCGTTTGCATTATAGTTGCCTACTTCTGGCCTGCCTCCATAGCAAGAATCTCAGTGAAAAGCTTCATATCTCCTTTCCTCTCTCAGAGCTATGACTATCATATCTGTCTTTCTTGGCCGCACCTTCCATTACATTGATGGTATCCTTCCATTCAGGTATTGCTCGAATTCTTGATTAGTTATATATCATGACTCCGTTCTTATCTATCCAGTTTTGTTTGAGCATTTTCCAGTTTTCTTTGCATGGCCTATCTTCTTTGCACTTACTTCATACAAGGTTCTGAAGCCATCTTATATGCGCAGATTGGGTGAGACAGAGTTGCCCATTGATGACATTTTGGCAGTTTGCCTCTTGGTAACCTTCAGCTCCCTTAGTTTGTGAAGTTCTTAACTCCTGGAAAATTTCCCATGCTTGCGTCTTCGTCATAGTTATGTGCATGGGATCGTGTTTAAACTTAATGCAATTTTTAAGTGGTACGTTCAACAGTTCAAGTCGTTTGTCAAATTCTACAGAGATTTTACCAATTTGTATATTTTTTTATGTGACTATTGCATTTCAGGTCTATTTTGGGTTTTCCACTCTGCGCGAGGCCATTTCAAGTGATAGCATGAAAACTAAGGACGAACAAGAAGAGGTTAAGAATACAAATTTCTTCTGATTTTCTATTCTGAATACCTTGCTCTCGCCTTGATATTAAAGCCCTTACATAATTCAGTCAAACATTTTTCATTAAAAGTTATATCAGCCCATAATATAGAGTAGAATGATATGTTGTCCATCATATTCTGGGATAGAACATCATATTTCATGTAACAATTTCGTCCAACTTGCTTTTTGAACATGAAACAGGCAGAGCTAGCAGTTTCAGAATTCTCAAGAGACGGTGCTGGTATTGTGGCAGCTGCAAATACTGCCTTTGGCACATTCTTTTTAGTTTTTGTTGCAGAATGGGGTGATAAATCATTTTTCTCCACAATAGGTTAGTAGGCTGCATCTTTTTAACCTATGAATTTCTGATCATACATGTGTATAATCAGACTATTTATATTCTGGTCCTCAGTTTATCATTATATCTTTGGCAGCACTTGCGGCCGCTTCTTCTCCCCTCGGAGTTGTCTTTGGAGCATTGGCTGGTCATGCTGCTGCAACTTTGGTAACATTAAATCTTGATTTTGCTGTGTAGTCCATTCCCTAGAGCAACTGAATCTTGTTATGTTCTTCATTTTAAGTTTGTGATTATGCAAGACTTTTCATAACTGCTAATAAATTGGTGAATATTTGTCACTTCCACTTGTGTGCAGCTTGCTGTTCTGGGGGGTTCTTTGTTGGGGACTTTTTTATCCGAGAAGGTGAGTAGCAGGTCTATAATGGATGGTACTTATATGTGGTCTTATGCAATGAAGTCCGTAAGGATTTTTAGTGCACAAATTCAAACATTTTCTTTTCTAAATTTTTTAGTTATAAGTTCTAGTATGCTTATTGTTGTGAATATTATGGCCCCACACTGCAACTAAGGAAATCTCGTATGATGGAGCATGCAATGATAAGGTACATTGACTAAGAATCCTCACATTCTTGGAAACTCAGTATGTACAAAAATAGCTGTAACCTACATGCATGCCAACCAGTATTGTAAATTCCACATAGTTATATGTGTAATATATATGGGGCACATTGGCCCGTGATTTAAATAATGAGATATACGTCCATATTATTTACTCAATCATTGTGCTTGAATGTGTTTTTCCTCTCTTCTTTCTCAAACTCAGAATAGGGCTCGAAACCCTAGGATGTCTGTTATTTTTCTGCAATCCTAGAGTCAATATTCCATATCCTTCTCGCCCACAGAACCATAGAAAGGGGAAAATTTTCAAGCTTTGGAAACTAGTTATCAATTCCTTGGGAAGAGACTTGGGGTTCGTGCTAGAGAGAGAGGGGAAGAATATCAGAAATCAAGCACAACATTTCCTTGGGTAAGTAGTCAACCTAACCACATCCAGGTGAAAACTACAATTAGGTTAGATGAACCAAACTACTTAGAATGGTCCCAGTCTGCCAAAATATTCATAGGAAGCCGAAAGGCCACTATAGGGGGATAAAGTTCAACCGTCCACTTTGAAGATCAGCCCTTGTAACAATTTTCAAGCAAATTAAATGTGGGTATGAAAAGATCAAATTATGCCCCACTTTCTCTCGTCGAAAAGGAGAAACTAAAATGCTGCATTGTGACAAGAGGAGACACCTGAGATCACTGCTTGGACTTGTATCCACACTTTAGATTGAAACGAAGGACTGCATGTGCCAATATAATATTAACTGAGGGGGAGGAGACTCTTGCGAACAACCCACTGTATTCAATTCCAGAGATTAGGCAATCAAAGATATACTTCACCAATTGGCTGCGCTCAATTCCTCATGTAGCTCTAAGTTACTAGTAGAGCAGCCAGGTACATATGCATCTGCAAATAAGGTCTCCTAGTCCACTTCTTTTACATCCTTGATCATTGATTCAAGGGCTATTGATCATAGGACCAGTAAGAAAGTTGGTTTTTGTCCTTTTTTACTATTTCTAGTGAAGTTAAACTTGTTGATGGATCCTGACTAGTTCCTTTGGGAGTGCAACATAGAAGCTTTCATCATCCTTGTCCTTGCCCTTTGTAATATATGTACCTTATTTTCCTTCCAAGCTTCTCGTTGTTAGCATCCTGGCAGAACAACTAAACTGAGTATAACTTCTATATATCTCATTGTGTTTTTAGGACTCGATGATGAGGAAGACGATAAGTGGCGGTTGTGAGGACAATGGGTTTTACCTGTTCAACATGGGATGTAGTTATATTGCTCTTAATTTTGAGTCTAACACTGAAGAGCAAGTACTCTTGTGCCAAACCCACCTAGGCTACATGTCCCTAAAATCCTTAAAATTATTGTTTCCCAATAACTTTGTTTCTTTTCGTCTTCAAAAAACTCTAGGGGCCCCTAGGCTACCGGCTTAGTTGCGCCCAGCGCCCAGGCGCCAGCTTGGCGCCTAGAACCTTAGGTGCCCTAAGGTGAAAAGTTGCATTTATGTCTTGTTAATTTTGTATTTTTTTTCACTTTTATGTATTCTAAGTAACTTTTTCCATGCAACCATATATGCATGAATGTTCCAACATGTTCAAAACTTCAAATCATTGAAAATTGAGTGAAAAAACTAAAAAACATAACAAGTCCATGGTGTATTAACCTCCAACTATCTAATCCAAATTAAGTATGTCGTACTCCATATTGACACATGAGCACGATCACAACTAGACAAGATGAAAAAAAAATATATCTAAGATGTTCTTTCGATTCCCAGGATCCCAGAATCAATAGATTTGGAGGCTTAGATTCCATTTTTTTTCACTTTGGGGTTTAGAATACCCCCAATAGCCTTTTATGAAAAAATTGTGAGTCTAAAATTGACTTTGTTCTAAAAAAAGGGCCCAGTACCTGGGTGCTTGGCACCCTCCTGGGCTTCATGAGCGGGCACCCACGTATTGGCACCCAGGGAGGGCACCTAGTTCTAGGTGTGCGCTTTAAGGTCCTCTAGGTGCCTAGGTGCCATGCAGATGTTCTTTAAAATAATGGCTGTTCACATTGTTTCTCAGTTACAATGTGAGATCTGCCAATTGAGAAGATGACTGTAGTACGGTTGCTAGAATAGATGGAGTGCCTCTGTGAATTTGTGTGTTCCTTGACCCGATGGATCCAATTCCCATTGGATAATATTTAGATATGTTTTTTTTTTGAATTATGGAACATTAAATAGTATTTATATTCAGATTTCAGGACGATAGTTTATTTTATCGAAAAGCATTTTTAGATACCTATAAATTGATTTTCCAGGTTTCTGCAAATACGAAGCTATTTTAAAAATAGATAGAGAGCTATAAAAATCACATTATTTTGTTATGAAATTAATAAGGGTTAGTGGGGGCCCATTTGGAATAGGCCCCACCCATATTTCGACCCGGACGTTTTCGAGATGCCCCTAAGAACCAACAAATGGCAAGTGCTTTTCCTTGTGTAGATCCTATTTCAATGGGAACTTGATGAGTCGATCCGCCTACACGTCTTGCTTTTACTGCTATATCGGGAGTTACTCCACGTATTGCTTGACGTAAAACAGATAGTGGATTTGTTTCTGTCTTTTGTTGAATCTTTTTCAATGCTCGATAGATAATTTGATAAGCCAACGATTTTCTTCCGTGTTTCATAATCGTTTGGGCCCACCTTAATGGGGCATGGGGCCCACATGGGACCCACATAGCCTCTACGCCTCACCTGTTTGTTCTCTCTCTCTCTTGGCTTGTTGTGCAAGGCTTTAGAAGAAGTCCAAGGCTATGAAAAATATTTAGTAAATTTTGTTGAGAGCGATAGGATTGATTGATTCAAATTTTAGTAAGATGTTCCATAACGGCATAACCATAACTTGAGATTTTTTTGAAAACTATATTATATTTCCTCGAATCGAATATTTGAAGGGATCGGGTCAAGGAAATTGGGGGATAATGGTTCCAAAACCTTTACTTTAATCATCTGATTTAGGGATTGGGTGATTGAGATTTCTTCATCCCACAAATCTCCTCAGATCGACGATCAAAATTAATCTCAATTCTCGAAAGATGGCAAACCCTACACCCCATAAACCCTAACTTGTGTTTATAAGTACCGGGGGTGGCCTTTATACAAATGTCTAGATCCCTTTCTCTCTCTCTCAACTCTCTTAGAGTGGCACACTCTCTCCACTTTTCTTTCTAATCTCACTTTACCCAATCATTCATTTTTTTTTATTCATCATTTTAGCTTTTTCTCAATTGATTGGGGTCGGTTACATGAATCCTGGTTTTCCATTCTGCTATATTAAAATCCATATCCTCAGTGAGGCCATTAGTCCTCATATCTTTTCAGATTACTTCCAACCATGTCCTTTGGGCCTACCCCTTGCCCTTTTCAGTCTTTCCACTTGAACTGACTCGCACCTCATACGTGCTGTATTTGGTTGGCACCACATATGGCCAGCCCATCTAAGTCTATTCTCTTTTATTTTATCGTCTATAGTGCCACGCCTAAATTCTCTCGAATAGATTCATTTCGAATTCTATCACTGCTTGTCTTGCCACTCATCCATTTAAACATCCTCATCTCTGCTACACTCATTTATGGGTAGGGTATATTGTTTTTTTCCACCCAACATTCCCCTCGAAAGAGCAAAGTTGGTTTCACCGTTGTCTTATAAAACTTGCCCTTTAGCCTCATTGGTATGCGACGATCACATAAAATTCCAGTTGCACATCTCCACTTCGCCCACCTAGCTCTAATTTTGTGTGCCACATCTTCCTCGATCTCTCTATTTTTCTGAAATATCGACTCAAGATATCGGAAGTGCGGTCTTTTTTGTATTTCTTGGCCGTCAAGCGTAACTACTTCCTCGTCTCTACTCCTATTATTACTAAACTTGCATTCCATATACTCTATCTTTGTCTAACTAATTTTAAAACCTTTGGATTCTAGAACATCCCTCCAAAGTTCTAACTTTGTGTTGACCATTTAGAGTCTCATCAATCAAAACTATGTCATCTGTGAACAACATGCACCACGGTGCCTAGTTAAGTCGTCTATAACTAAGACAGAGGTACGGGCTCAATGCTGACCCTTGATGTAGATCTAATGTCCTTGAAAACTCACTTGCCTCTCCACGAGTTGTTCAGACACTAGTTAGCGATCCATCGTACATATCTCTCACGAAGTTGATGTAGTGTCTAGAGACACCTTTCTTTTTCAACACCCGCCAAATCAAATCTCGAGGTACTCTATCATAAGCTTTCTCTAGATCAATGAAGACCATATGGAAGTCTTTTTCCTTCGCCCAAAATTTCTCAATCAGTTGCGTAAGTAGGAAAATAGCCTCAATTGTTCACCTTCCTAGCATAAAACCAAATTGGTTTTCAGATATACTCGTTTCATGTCTTAGTTGTTGCTCAATGACTCTCTTTCATAGTATGGCTCATAATCTTGATCCCTCGATAGTTTGTACAATTCTGTATGTCTCCTTTGTTCTTGTAAATATGTAACACAATACTTTTCCTCCAATCATTTGACATTTTCTTTGTGCTCAACATCTTGTTGAACATCTTCGTCAGCCAGTCAATGCTCATGCACTTTCAAATCTCTATCGGGATATCATCTGGTCCTAAAGCTTTTCTTATCTTCATCCTTTTTAAAGCTTCTTCCACTTCCGATATCTTAATCCTACGAATGTATCTATGACTTCAGTCATCATTGGTATCAACAATCCTTTCTACCTCCCATTGCATTCGTTATTTAATAAAATAAAAAAGGGAAAAAGAGGGTGCGATGCCCAAGGCATGATGAAAGGGGTGGCATGCCTCAAGAAAACCCTAGATGAAGAGAACAATCTCCCATTGTGATGTGATGGCTTGTGCTCTCATGCTATTAGGGTTTGCCAAGCCTTCTCATAGAGTGAGACAATTTGAAGAGACCTCGATCCTGTGCCATTGGTGTGCTGCTCTTGAGTGGGGTGTAACAAGTTCTTGGGGTGACCCTTGTCAAGGTAATGTGTATTTTTATGGATTTATGTTTCTTGATGCATTCTTCTATGTTGTGTTTTGATGTTAATTGAGCAAAAAGGTTTTTATGGCATGCAAGTGATAATTTTATATTGTATTAGGGTTTAATTTTATGAATTAAATATGTATTTTAGATACTTGCAGGCATTCTAGACTCGATATAAGTAAAAGAAAGGAGAAATTTTAACTGCATATACTTGGCTAGATCACATATTCCACCTTTCATTAGTATTAGATCTGGTTCTCTTGCTGCCATAATTCTTTTGTTTTTTCTATTTTTATTGTTTTTGAATCTGAAACTTGGGATCCAATGGTTTTGTGGTCAAAGTCACGCACCTCAGAAAGAATTGTTATTTTGATTTAGGCACTGAAAAGCACTCTGCAAATTAGGGTTTTGGCTCATTGATATGGACCATAGGATGAGGTACTTTTCTTGGGCATATCATATTTTTATTTTGTGGTTTTGAGAGTAGTATCTCCCTACAAAATTTAAGTCGGAGATTATGTGGGCATTGAGAGTTATGCACTCATCATTAAAAGGTCCTAGTTCTAATCCAACAGAATTCAGGAATTATGTACTCCTTTTCTTGGCATTTTTTATCCAATAATTAGTATTATTTTTGGAGGGGATCTGATTGTTGTTCACCCATTTTTAAGTCTACTTTGAAACAAAAGAAAATTGATGGAGAGAGCTCTTGTGGTTTGGGAGATATGGTTTCTTTATTGAAAGGTGCTCAATTCTGTTTTCTACAATGTGGGTTGTTTGTGTAACGTCAGTGTCTCTGTTTTGTATTCATATTTAACAGAATGATTTGGGGCCCACTGAGTTTTTATATTGTGATATTGAGTCTAGTTTCAAACAAAAATGTTGAAAGGCTCCATCTAGATAGAGAGAAGGTAATTTTATTGGAGAGTGGTCATCTTGAATTTTTACAGCATGATCTGTTTTATGACATAATATTATTTGGGGCTCGCACCACGTGGTTATAATTTAGTTTTGAGTCTAGTTTTCAACAAAAACATTTGAGTGAGAAATCCTATGTTTATTGAGAGAAAAGACCATTTTATTGAAGGGTGGTCATCCCGAGTATCAGCGGTGTGAATTAAAAAGTGACGTGAATGTCATAATTCATAGACCCATGAACTAGTATGCTTTTGGGTTCTTCATTGAGTATTTTCAGTGTTTGTGTTCATTTTTAGACACAAATCGTCGGAGAGAAATTCTTTGTAACTTGAGAGAAATTGTGATTTTTCTACAATGCTCATCCTCTGTTCTGCAGTAAGTCCAAAAGTGTGACATGTGAAGTCACTAATTTGTACTTCCATAGAATGGAAGGTTTTAAGGCTCATTCTAAGTTTTGTTACTTTGTTACAATAATACTTTATGGTAATAAAATTTCAGAGAGAAATCATGCAAAATTGGGGAATTATGAAACCCTATGTGGAGGCTCCTCCGTCAGGACACTGCAGAAAATCCAAGAATTACATGACGTACTTGTGAAGTGCATCTTGGTTTCTCTTTATTTTAGACAATCAAGGGACTTGTAGAGAGACTTGGAAGCAACCTAAATCCCCAAGATCAGTGGAAAAGTCAAGGGTGTTACTTCTGAAGTGATGGCACGGATAGGAAAACTTCCTCATTATAATGTAGGGAAAATCCGAAGGGCGAAAATTAGAAGCTTCTCTGTGCAGATGATAACCAAAAGTGATTCTTCATTACTCGTGAGACCTGGTTCCAAGGCTACAACGTTCATCAACAAGCAAAGCAAGGATCAAGGGAGGCCCGGTACTGCACACTGTGGCTTAAGGGGTCAAAAGTTATAAAATCTATCCCACTTCACATGGTTAGGGTATATAGGGAAAGATAATTCAATAACTAAAAGAGCCATATGAGTCTCACTTGACCTTTATTTTTTCTTTTTTAGTTATGTCTTGGCTGTTTTGAGTATAAGGGCATCAGTTGATAGATGCTACAAGCATGAAAGATCCGGTTCTAGATACCCTTAAATATATATACCTTCTTATAATTGTGTGAGCTGCTTAAGGTAGTAAACATAAGGTATGTGATTTTAGTGATTTGATCAAGGTACATAGCCTATGTATCAAGTACTAGAGATGGGAATGGCTCATTCAAACGTAGCACAAAGAAATGATGCACGCTTTTTGTATGCCTCGATATATTTTTTGTGTTGTATGTCCTCCTAGTATTGTCCTCTGACGCAGCATGCTGGATGAGATAAGGATTTCATCGTAGGCTCTCCGTGTTGCTCAGCAAGTGCGTATTTTCTTTGGATCTCAGGTTTTTGATAACCATCTACATTTTGGGTCCTACTTTGTTTTGGAGAAATCATAGATCGACTTTTATGACTCATCTCTAAATGGATAGGACATGCTTGGTGAAATTAAATTGAATGCGATAAAAAATGATTTTTAAAAAAGATTAAATCCTTTTTCTGAAAAAGAATTGGATAAAACAAAGGACCTTTGGTGTTGAGAAAGCTAGATTGATAGGTCATGTTCTGAATGACCCTACAGTCTTGCGAGGTCCACTTAGTTTGTGAAAATCATGCCAAACTGCCAATTTTTGTTTCTTAAAAACATTTCTAATGAAATTATTCTAAGTCAAGAGTCTTGTTAGAAGGGAAAACATTGAGTCTTGAAATTGTTTTTATAAGATGGGAGATGTGTCACTCATAAGAGCATTGTGATTGCATCGGTTTTAGGTACCGATGTATATTGACTCATGTTTTCATATAAATATTAATTACCTTTTTGAGACCTGTTTGTTAGGATGCCGATTTTGTTTAGCTTCCTTGACATATGTTGTGTGGATGAGACCACTTGGTTTGTAAAGGGTTACAACCAAGAGGCAAGTGTGTTTGAACCTTTGTTGTTGGGGAAACGTTTGAACCTTGTTGTTGGGCAAAAGTTATTTTTGCATGAAGCTTGTTGAACAAGCTCATGGCATGCACATGAGGGCATTGAGATATGACATGGTATATGTGTTTTTTTGTTTGAGTGGGAGTTGCTGCAGTCACACAACTACTTTTAGATGTTTGGATATTCAGTTATACAGGTATTCCGTTATGAACTGTCTAAGGGATCTAGATGACTTAATACCTTAGTGGGAATGCCTGCTTATGCTTGGTGCAGCTGGAACATCATACTATGACGTTGTCTACTATAGAACCAAGATATGTGGTCAGCTTGTCAAGTTGCAAAAGAAGCGCATGGTTGAAAAACTTCCTCAGGCTATTGAGGACAACCCCATGCGATGAGGGTACGTGAAGATCTGCTACCACAACAAGGTCTGTAATTTGCTTTAGTGAAAGGTCATGACCATACAAGAAGACCAAGGACCTCAAGATGGACTACTGCCACAATCGGGACGAAATCTGAGTACCAGAAATATAGGCTTTGTATCTTCCACAAAAGCTGTGATAGTGAATCCTTGATGAAAGGATCGGTGGCGAAAGAGGTCGCCAAAATATGTACAATGTAATGTGCATGAGAGGGTAAGTGAGATATGCTTGAGAGATATTGTAAGGCCTTCGAAGGATAAGTGGGAGGTCTTGGCGTTATGTGCCTATTTAAAGGCTTTATGAGAGCATGTAAAACTATGACTGTAGTAATGTGATAACTCTAGTGGGAGTATGGTATGGTGGGACCAAAGGATTGCAATTCAGATAGACCAAAGGAGGCATTTCGATGCCGTGACTCACCTGGGCTTTAACGAGCTTGGTCAGGGTTCATAGCTAAAACACCGTAGCCCTGGGCAATTGTGGAGCATTTACAGGGTTATCTTATGATGAGGTTGGAATGATGCCTAGGGTGTTGGCCAAGGGACCCTTGTGTGCGGTTGGCTAGCTTGAGGGGTGCCAAAATCCTCATCATTGGCATCGCATGGCATATACACTATATAGTTGTTCAAGAAGCTGCCCATTGGGGTATGCATACATGTGCGGAAGAGATGACCTCCATGCATCATTGCGATTGTGTGTGAAGGTCTGTGTAACCTATACTTGTGTTTTTGTTCCTATCATATGACAGCTTCTCTATGAGCTTATTTATCTGACGAGTCATTTCATTCTCACTCTTCTATTTGATGATAAAATGTGGAAATCTCCTTGGGCATTCTAATAGTCATCCAATATTTATGGATTCATGAGCATCATATCTGTGTGCACGTGCACAAGTGTCTGCATGTGTGTGGGTGTGTGCATGCATCGTTTGTCTGTGTTGCATGTGCATGTGTGCATGCAGACGTACGTGCGTGTGCGCATGCATGTGTGAAAAGATGACTTAATAGAGCTTTTTCATTGATATTATTCGCATGCTTATCTGTAATTGTGTTTATTGCATGCACAAATCTGATTCCTAGGACTTGTAAGTCGTGAAATGTGAAGTGTGACAGATTTGTTGTTTGAGCAGGTCATTGCCTTCACCGGAGGATCTCTCTTTCTTGCGTTTGCTTTGGTCACATTAATCGATATATTGACTTAACTTTTGGATATTTGCTACTCCAAGATAAATGTTAACCCAAGAACAATGTGAAACCTCAAATTTCTCTTGTTTTCTTAGAAACTAAAGGGCTTTCATGTGTGGTTATACCTTGAAATTTCATTTCTCCTCGTGCCTACGTATCGCAATAATAGAAATTTCATTTCTGTTCATCTGCCCAAACATTCAGCAAGCAATTACCTTTAGAGAGTACATCTACCCCCATATATCATCGCCCCATACATTAACCAAGTGACTACCTTTAGGGCCCCTTTGGTTACTAGGATTTGGATTTTCAGGTGCCACTTTTTCTTGAAAACGCGACCCAATTATGTTTGTTTCACTTGGAATCGACATTGCTGTTAGAATTGAGATTTTTGTGGATTCCAAAATACTCATTTTAAGCCTAAATTTTTGAAATGTCAATTCTACCAAAATAGGTGGAATTGACATTTTATGGAAACGATCTATTTTTCTCATGGACCTGTCACTATGTCAAAATTTAAAAAGAAAATATATTAAAATTTTAAAGAAAGAAACTATATCAAATTTTAAAGAGAGCACACGAAATTGTTTTGAGAGAAAATACATGAAATTTGTTAAGAGTGAAACTATCTCAAATTTTTAGAGAGAGAAACTATTTCAAATTTTTAGAGAGAGAAATTATTTCAAATTTAAAGTTTTAGAAAGAGCATCTTAAAATTTTAGAGGCAGAGAGTATCTTAATATTTGAGATAGATTAAATTTTAGAGAGAGGAATTACTTGAATTTTTTATAGAGAAATATGTTAAACTTTTAGAGAGTGAAATTATATCAAATTTTAAGTTTTGGAGAGTATATTAAAATTTTAGATATAGAAACTATATCAAATTTTAGGAAGAGAAATTATTTGAAAATATTTAGATGGAGAAACTATCTTAAATTTGAAGTTTTAGAGAGAGACTATCAAATTGTCGGTAGAGCATAAGAATTTTTAGAGAGAGACTTTAAAAAATTTTTGATAGAGAAACTATCTCAAATTTTAAATCTAAGAGAGAAAAGTAGCGTATTAGAATTTTAGGGAGAGTAACTATATCATATTTTTGAAAGAGAACTACTTGAAAGTTTTTAGAGAAAGAAACTATCTCAATTTTTTTTTAGCTATATCAGATTTTAAGTTTTAGAGAGAGAAAGTATCTCAAAATTTTATAGAGAGAAAATATATTGAATTTTAGAGAGAAGAGTATCTAAATTTTTTAGAGAGAAACTATCTCAAAATTTTTAGAGAGAAACTACTTCAAAGTTTAAGTTTTTGAAAGGGAATGTATATTAAATTTTTTGATAATAAACTATATTAAAATTTAGAGAAATTATCTCAAATTTTTTAGAAGGATAGACTTCCAAATTTTGAGTTTTACGAGGAGAAAGTATATCAAAATGTATTACCAAACAATGGACATGAAAATGATTGTAAAGAATCAATGAATTTTATATTGTATATCCAAACATGAGATTTGAGGAATCGGTGACAATGTGTGAGAGAGAGGATTTACATTTCTAGAAGAAAGATATTCGGCAATCCAAATAATGAATATATATTTTGCTGATTTTTTTATCAGATGCAATCCACACAGCATAGACCAGATTTCAGAAACTGTTAGTTCTAGTAAATACCAATTCCAGTATTAACTTTTCCATAGGAATGAAAAATCTAAAGAGCCAAACGGGATTTCATAAACTATTAATTCTAGTAAATGCCAATTCCAGGATTAACTTTTCCATAGGAATGAAAAATCTAGTGAACCAAGCGGGCTCTTAGATACATGTCTAAATAATACAAATTTCGTTTTTGCCGTCAGTCGATCTACCATCCATCATCCCTCCATACATTCACCAAGCAACCACTTATCCATTATTAAGCCATCCGTTTCTTAAACCATCCAACCATTCGTTGACCATCCATCCAATGCATCATCCAACCATCCACCTACTAATAAATCGAACAATTTACCCTCCCACATCCATCTATCCATCCATTAGTGTATCATCTGACCATAAATGCATGACCTAATAAAAACGTTCGCAGTCATAACATAATTTTATATTATATTGTATAATATAATGACATTAAAAAAAAAAAAAAATAAACAATAATAAAAAAAAAACTTAGGAAAAGGTAATTTAGAAATTATAATATGTTGAAGTAGAATCATAAATTTATAGGTTAGGATTATATTATACCATATCATACTATATTATCTATAACTTTGTTGCTCCATATAAAAATTTCTCGGATTTTCTATTCATGTGGGTACGTATTGCACATGTGATTTATTACATTAAAACTACTTGTACATAATAAAATTCTATTTTTTCTCTTAAAAATGAGTTGTCTAATAATTTAAAAATCTACTGCAAATTTTATTTAAAAATTACTATGAAAAACACTTATTAAATTAAAAAGGAGCTTCTTTACAAATAAATATATTTTTAAATATTCTAATGAATATAGTTTTATACTAGCTTAAAACAAAATAATGTGTAATTCTTAAAATTGATATTTTTTTTTAAAAACTTCCTTCATGGCTATTGCCCCTGAAGACCTAAAAGAATAATAGGTGCTATATCATTTATCATTACATGGACCTTTGCAAGGTACACCACCTCATGTGAACCCCAAAAGTTCAATCATATATACTGAAATTCATGAAACTTCAATCGGATTAAAAATTGCATATATTATATATAGTTATCTATTGATTCAAAAGATGTTCCTATGGGATAGGGATTGAGGAATAAGATTTCACACACCACACTCACTATATATAGTATATATTACACATTATATATTATATAATTTTTTTTATTAAAAATAGAGAGAAGATAACATCCATAATATAATCTTATATTATATCATATAATAACAGAACTAAAGAAAATTTAACATATTTAAATCTTTTTAAATAGGTAAAATAAAAGAATTAATATATTGATTTACAAATTTATAGGTTAATATTATATGAGAAAGTATAGAATGAGACCATTTACATTTGATACAAGGTGGCCACATTAATCTTGATCAGTGGATGTAACATTGGATGGTTGCAATTATTCTATTAACCAAGCTCAAACTTCAAGTTTGGTGCTCTATTCATTTAATCATTTCTCAGATTTTCTACTCCTGTAGGTACAAACTGCACATGTGATTTATTAAAATAAAATGAATTATACTGATTTAAAACAAAATAATTTATATTTTTAAAATTGATTCTTTTTTATGAAATAAAATATTAAATTAAAAGGTTACTATTATATTATACTATATCATATTATATTATCTATAACTTTGTTTCTCTATTCATATAATTTTTTATCGGATTTTCTGCTCATGTGGGTGCGGACCGTCACATGTGATTTATTACATTAAAAGTACTAGTAAATAATAAAATTTTACTCTCTTTTTTTTAAAATTGCTTGATAATTTAGAAATACACTTTAAATTTTACTTTAAAAAGAGCTCCTACTACAATCAGGAGTTTCTTTAAAAATAAATATACTTCTAAATTTTGAACGAGAGTAGTCCCTCTAGAGAGAAAAAGAGTTAAAAGAGAGGGATTGCTTTAGTAAGGGAAGACAATAGAGGGCATTTAAGAGAGTTGAGGGACTCTCATTTTAGAGAGAGAAAGAGAGGGGAGGGAATCCAGTTTTAGAAATATACTTTAATTTTCATTTAAATGGAAAAAATTTTTAATTTTCATAAATTTCATCTATACCCTTTCTCTTTAATTTTGACGTTTTTTTATCAAAATACCTTTTATGGTACTCATATTACCGTAATGACTACCGCATTACGGTACATTATAATGGGGCCTTCATGGTAATACGACTACCTAAAACTATTTTGATAAAACAAAATGTCAAAATGGAGAAAAAAAAGTGTAGATAAGGTTTATGAAAGTTGATTTTTTTTTCCAATTAAACAGAAATTAAAATATATTTCTGATAATTTCCCAAAAATTAAACTGCTGTTTTGAGAATCCCACTCTTCCCCCTATTTCTACGTTTAGACAACCACTAAAAACCAGGGGCCACAAGAGAGAACAACCAGGCCATAGCCCCATCACTCTCGAGCTCCTTCCTCACTATTAACCTTAAAGTTTATCAGTTCCTACTTCTCAGATCTATGCATTCAGGGGATATTCCCTTGATTGTGGCAGTCCTAGCTCGACGAGGTGATTTGACAGTGCATTTGAGGTTTGAGCTGTAATGTCTTCAGAAGCTCCATGATTTTGCTTGATTAGCATACTATTTGACCATAAATGCACGACCCAAAAAAACATTCGCACGCATAATATAATTTTATATTATGTTGTATGATGCAATGACATTAAAAATTTTTAAAAAGAAAAATTTGACTTAGAACCCTATTTTTTGATATTATTTCATGATAGACTTTCTTTCTGTTTTTTTTCAAACACCATAAGGAAACGTCTAAAGATTTTACGGCACCCGCTCATCTCTGATCTCCCTCTTTTATTGATTTTGACCATAAAAATTAGCCCCAACAAATCTTTTTATTCTATTTCAACCCAAATTATTTTTTAACGTCTTTTTCCCTTTCCACCAATTTAAAATTTTTTTTGGGTTGAAATGGTATAAAAAGATTTTTTGGAGTTAATTTTTATGATCAAAAGTCAATAAAAGACGGAGATAAGAGATTAGAGGGTATGGTGAAATTTTTTGGGGTTTTTTTATGCCGCTTGAAAGAAAAACGGAAGGAGGGTCTATCATGAAATAATATGAGGAATTAGGGTTCTTTACAAAATTTTCCCTTAAAAAAATAAAATAATGAAAGAAATAAAGAAAAGTTAGAAAAATATAATTTAGAAATTATAATATATTAAAATAAAATATTAAATTCACAGGTTATTAATATATTATATTATCCTTAGTTTATGTAACATAGTTGCAAATACTTACAAACTTAGGGGTGGGTCGTTTGAATCCTAGGGTATCCAAAACCATGTTTTATATACCCAGGTATCTTGCGTAAAATCATGTTTGGCAATTTTTTGGATATGTAATCATGTTTTATGTGACCAAGAAAGAGAGCCAGAACTTGGGTATACAAAAAAAAAAAAAATTGAC